CTGTTTATAATGCTACATTTATTATTTTAATATTTACCTACTGGGTAGGTGATTATTAAAATAATAAATATAGCATTAGTAACTAAATAGATATTTTTTTTTAATTTTTAAAATTAAAATTTTCGTATTTTAAAAAATTACTAAAAAAAGGGTTTGAAATAATAAATTTTCTCACAAAAGAAGGGAACTTGAAAAAAAAGAAAAAAAAAGCGGGATCAAAGCCAAGACGCGAACCACGGAACTCCGATATCACGACCGACCGACACGACATACCACCTGAGCTATAACGACCGTTAACGATTAGTCGAAATTTACCTTCTTATATTGTAGCAGTTTTTTTATTGCTTGAAAACATAGACAAAAGGACATTTTCTAAAAATAAATCCAAGCGTTCGTCGCTAAAATCGTTGGAGCCGTATAATTTTCTCATCTGGTTCGGTTATATAAATATTTAAATATATAAAAATTATAAATTAAAATGAAAAGATAAATATACATTAATATCAATAAAATAAAATAAATACAAAATAATATTATATTATTATTATTATAAGTTGTGGTTCGGTGAAGCTGCAACCTAATGGACCATGATATGAAAAGTGGTTGTTGACGTCAATTATTATTATTCTTATTATTTTTTCATTACTACCTTTTTCAACCTCACAAGATATTTGTAACTGCAAAAAAAAACTACGTATAAGTAAGTAAATCAGTAATATAGTGTTATGTATGATTCAGACTAAATAAAGGTTCCTAAAAATAGACGTAGATAAAGAAATTGCATAAAAAATTACTCAAATAAAAATGCAATAAACTTGTTAATTTTATAGGTACTTAGTAAAATATTAAAATAATAAGTTTTTTAGGATATTTATGTAAAATATAAAGGTTATATTATGTTCTAACTACGTTCACGCTTGCGCATATAAAACCGCGGAATTTCCAAACCTTACCCTAAGTTTGCCTTGATTTTACCAACTCAAACTCGTTTTAGGAGATCAAAACATAGAGAGAAAGATAGGAGACTATTTTTTATTTAATATGGTTGGATCTTTATTTATTTGTATATTTTTTGTATTTATTTTATTTTTGTATTTATGTATATTTATCTTTTCATTTTAATTTATGTTTATAAAAACCAACCAGATGAGAAAACTATATAGATACCCCAACAATAATAATATAATAATAATAATATTCCACAAATATCACACAACGCCATCTAGTCCCAAGCTAAGCAGAGCTTGTGTTATGGGTACTAGACAACTGATAAACATACTTATATATTTCTAAATACATAAATATTATAGATAAATCATCACACAAACATTTGTCCTGGGTGGGAATCGAACCCACGACCTACGGCATAGCAGTCAGGGTCACTAACCACTAGACCAACAGGCCTGACGATAAATAAAATAAAGTCTCTAGCTCGAGAGGAGAGGAGCCGTGGTAGCTCAGATGGTTAGCGCTTGCTAAAATTTTCACAGTGTGCGAGCAAACCGGGTTCGATCCCCGCCGGCACCAATAATATTGTAATTGCAATTTTAAGTGTTGATTTACCACGTGCTCAGTGGTGAAGGAAAACATTGTGAGGAAACCTGCATGTCTGAGAAATAAGAAAAATAATATTTCGAAGACATGCAAAGTTCGCCAACACGCAGTGGGGCAGCGCGGTGGATAATTCCTTTCCTAGGACCCTTTCAGAAAATAGAATAGAAATAAAAAATAATAAATCCAAACTTCATTTAAAACCAAACATATAAATTGTAAAATAGCTGCAGGTATCTATAACCAAGTAAAAGATATTCCTTTACTCCAACTTGTCCATGTTTCCCAAAACAATTTTTAATTAAGCTTTATATTATAATGCGGATTTTTTATATTTAAAATTTTAATAATAAAGCATTTCGTACGTCTCAGCCGAGGCACAAATATTTTTCGGCCGCAAATTTATAAGACCGATTTGTTATTCAAACATAAACATGGTTTTTTAATTAAATCTACCAATCATAAAACGACACGCATTTTTATTGAACACTCCTATTCAATTCACAAAGTACCTATTATATTTGTTTATATAAAAAAGTATATTTAAGTACAATCATAAAACTAAATGGAAACACAAAGTAGGAAAATGCATTGAGTTATAAAACACATAAATCAATGGGCAAATGTAAAAATACTGGAAGCAGCAGCCCTATCGCATGTTTACGTACCGCACGGCTGTAATATTTATTTCTAAGATACGGCCGAGTTACAATATACCGTGACGTAAGCGCATCGGTTGGTAGGTACGCAAATAATATTATGTTTGCGGCGAAATACAAAACGCGGCGACCAGCGACGCGGCTACCCCGTATGAACGCATACAGCGTAATGCCGCCCGCACTCTGCGCACGCCCCTTTATCATAGAAGTCACACAATTTTCGGAATTATTTCAATTAAAAGAGAAAAAACGAACTTAAAAATTTAAATAAAACGTGGAGAATATAGATTTTTTCATTATCTATCCATTAGTGTTATCCTCAAATGATTAGAGCGTTGCGTTTAGCAACAGATGCATGTAATCAAGAATTTTAGTCATTTTTTAAAAGTTGATTTTAAATGTATTTATAGCACATAAAAATAAATTAGAACGTGGAATGCGATGATAAGATATCGAACATTAATAATGTACTTTTAGATGTAGTTTATTTTTCATAACTAATGAGATAATAGAGTCTGAAAAACGCACTTTTGCCAGGTTTTGGTCAGGGTAGCGTCTTAACTCATGTGCTTCTACTTCAACAGCCGAAGCCGTCGCCGATGCGTCGCGAAAATAGCCGAATAAACGTTTTGTTATTGTTACTGATCGCTCGTTCGTGATTCGTGAAACGTGAATCGTGTTACTGAGTAAAACGTCTACTGTAATAGATAGTTTCGTTGCACTGCAATAACCCGCTACCCGCTATTGTGTGAATAGACAGTTTCAGTAACTAGTTACGTTTTGTAACGACCACTCCTACTTCGCGACAAGCGCCTGGATGAACGGACGTGCGTGCCGTCCTGTTATTAAATAAATACGATCTACCAAAATGCCTTTCGAGTGGGATTAATGAAAATACAATAAAGTTTTTAGAACTGCTGGAATCAGAAAAAACTATATGGGATTTCAACGATAAAAACCACAATTCATCATCTTCTACGAATACGAATTTTCTTTTTGAGTTAACATAGTACCTATGTACATAATTAATTATAAATTCGTCAAATTTATTATATTAATATAAAATTTAGTTTAAGGAATTAATGAACATTGACATTTTATTTCTAAAAACGATTAGTAACTCATATTGATTATTTATTAATTAAAATGTAAAATAAGTTAAAAGGTAATATTTGCATAATAGCCTGAGATTTTTAAATTATAATTTTATTGTAATTAAAATTACGAATTAGTTTATACTGAAGTGTAATTAATAAAATAATAATAGCTTAACTAATCTCATATAATATTTAATATTATTTATGTAACAATAATATAATAATTCAATTAATAATTTATGAACAATTTACTGTATAAGAATTCAAATAGAGTGGATCTGTATAAGTATTTAATTGTACATAATATTTGAATTCAAAAAGAATGTGTGTAGGTACCTAACTTTTAAGCAACATCGGGTTTGTGTAATTAGCTGTATTTCATATCATTTTTCCATGCCAATTATGGCAAAACATGTCAGTTCCACGTCATTGATCATCTTATGTACCATGTTTTTAAGCAAATCTAATCTATCTATCTTCTTTTGAACTTGATATCTTTTTAAATTATTAACATAATTTTGTATTGCAAGAAGACACAGCGCGGACGCTGTAATTATTTCGACGTCCGCCATAGTCGAAAGCCGAAAGCGATGTGATTGTGAGTGGTAGGCTGGTAGGGGTAGGGCAGAGTGTGAATACACACTTCCCGCGATCCTGCTACGGCAGTATTTAGGGAAGTATTGCCGGCAGCGCGAGGAGCAGTGGCAGGGGCTGAATGTAAATGGGGCTTAAGAATTATACAATCCAAATAGGTACTTTAATAATATGACAATAAGTAAAACGCTGTTATAAATATTACTGATAAGTGACTTAATTACAAATGTTTAGAAAATAAAAATACTTATAAGTATAATACTCTTTGTAGGTACATACGAGTACCTCAAATTCTAAATTAAAAATAAAATGAGAAAATTATCTATGATAATTGTTATTACAATACCTACAATGGACTAATAATCTATTTTATATTTGATAATTAAAAAATAATATAAAAGCAAAACGATAATTATACAAATATTATTTTATAACGATTCAAAGTAGAAATTATGTAAAAATCACTGATAACACTAGTCTTAAGTTTGGAGGATATTATTACAGCAAAGCCAACAATACAAATGTTGTATCGCAGGAAAATTGATGCCTAGAAATGTTTACTTGTTTGGTAAAGCGGCATAAAACAAATGCTGCTTGATAACGGAATTAGCTAAAAGAGTTGAATCAACACAGACTGGCTCCTAGACAGAAATGAAATCTCCCTATTCATTATTTCACTTATTATTGCGAGGCAATGACAGTACCGTCATTTTAAGTGTCGGTGCCGATAGATACGATAAAGAAATTGATAAAGATTGATTTTGTGAATAACGTTACGTACTCGTATTTGTTGTGAGTGGGACAAAAATATGAGGAAATGAAACGGAAACACTTGTGATGTAATGTGATAAGAATAATGTAATACAATATTACTAACTACGATGGAGAATTCTTAACAGTAGGAGGTGAATAAAACACTGGCTTTACAATTTTTAGTTTATTTCATTCTATATCACAATTTCCCTTTTTTGAAATTTTATATAAACCGGTTCAGAGTTCCTCAAAACTAAATCTGCTTGGAATTTTAGATCCGAACAACTGGTTACGGGAAGTAACTTGAAATTCCGTAAGATTTCTGATACAACTAATTTCAGCTGCATTATTGCAAATTTTTGCCCTGAAAAAGTAAATTAGACATATTACATAATCTAATACACCAATACTAAATAAACAGTCATTTAATAAACAGCCGTCAGCTGGAAAAAGACAGCGCTAGGATAGGTAAAATACGTATGTATTTATAATAGAGATGGGCCGAATATTCGTTTTATATTCGGTATTCGGCATATTCGGCAGCTTTACCGAATATTCGTATTCGGCCGAATATCCGGCAAAATTACCGAATATTCCTTTTCATAGTGTCCAATGTATTGAAATGTACGAATTGACTAATGCAATGTATTTTACTGTTGAAAGTGTATTTTGTTTATGGGTTAAATCTACTTACTCTAGATCTAGAGTGTCTCAAATGCATAAATCTATACATTTATATTTTGAGGCACTGTAGATTTATTTACGATTATGGCAAATAGAAATTTGATAAAATGTTTTTGGAGTCAAACAGTTTGTACATTTTCTTTACTTTGGTCGTCTGTTTCACTAAAATAAGTCCAAATAGTAAATCTCCTGCCGCTCATTTTCATCATATAATTATCAATTTTCTCTAAGAATAAAACAACGACATACTTTTTTATCACAAGAATAGTCAAAACATAAGCATGTGCCGGCAATTTGCCGGTTTTTGCTAGTACTAGATGATGCAGTAACTGTCAGGTGTGGCGGGGAGCGAGAGGCAAGGTCCGGTGGTAATCCCGTGCGCTTTACGGTAACAAGTTTTGACATAAATTGGTTGGGTCCCGAGGTTATCCTGCCGAATAATGTTATTCGGTGAAATCCATATTCGGCCCATCACTAATTTATATTACTTTGATATAATAGTATGTACTCGTAGTGTTCCAATTCTGGACGTAAATCGTAGCTCCTCTATATGTAAACGCAATTGCTACGATTATAGTAGTCATAGTTAATGGACTTTTGATCACAACAACAAATGTTTCACATCCCTAATCACAGACGTAGATTTAGATCTATGTCAGTGTCCTTGATACTGATCTAAGTTAAAGGTGAAAATAGTAATGGCTAGGCTAGGCTATAATAAAATGGTCATTCCACATAAAGTTTTTGTGACCTTTACGTAAATTGCAATTGCTTAAATATTGTAAAACATTAACATTCTATATTAATTACAATATGTAATTCTGTTTTATGTATGTATTATAAAATAGTTATTATTTTACGAGTAAAAAGAGAATACCAGCTAATACTGTGTTTATATTCCCAAAGGTTTGCAAATGCGTGTACTAGGAGTAAGTTACGAATGGCGAATTCAAACATGACATGACATTAGCGTTTCACGGTCCGTATCTTTAACCATTTTATTAGACTGTACCACGTTGTTGCTTAGTACAGCTAGTATCATGTGATTTATAATATGATATAATATAAGCAGTCAACCGCTAGTCATAGGTGCAGTTCTAATCGGTACAATTTGCCGTGTTATTATCGACAGGCGGGTTGATGACCAGCAACTCATACACGCGCGCACACACATATACAAGCTGGTTTGGGTATTTTAGGCCTGGGTATCTCGTAGGGGTATTACTTCCTTCAAATAGGGGTTATTTTATTTTATTTAAGCGTGCACACAGTCCACCTGTCGGTAAGTGGTTGCTGTGGCCCACGAACATCTGCATCTATCCTCGTTTGGGAATTAAAATGCAGATGCGTTGTCAGCTGTGAGGACTAAGATAGAATGCCTCTTTTCCAGTAAAAAGGGTCTCCGGTTCTCTACACTCACCATACGAAACACAGCAGCATTAAGCTGCTATTTGACGCTGGTATTCTGTAAGAGCGTGGTCCATCCCCGGTCGAGCCAACCTATTCGTGCTACAACTATACTACAAACAATAACAGCAATACAATACTAACTATACTATGTACTAATATAACTGCAGCATGGCTCTACCATGTAAAATTTTTATGTTATTATACAATAAAATGTGGCTCATGTAGTAGCGGCGTAAAAGAGTTCACCAGCCCATGTCATCCTGTGGCCTGTGGGTGTCGTAAGAGGTCACAAAGACAAATGGAACAGGAGATGAGCAGCAGCGTATTCCTAATGACATCTTAAAATAAAATAAAAAGATAGCTGTGAAATAATAAACAAATGTGCCTACCGATACAATTCCTCGGTCCTGCGCTAAAAGGTATGTAAGCGTAACTGTGACGCTTACCCACGTTTCTGGTAAAAATCTATCTGGGTCAAACACAGAAGGGTTTGGGAATAATTTTTCGCTGCGATGTAGATCGTAAATATGAATGTGACAAAAAGTTCCCGCTGGGACTGTGTAATTACCTGAAATGTAAATGTGTATATGTACATAATATATATATATTAATAAATGAATGTTAATCATAGCAATAAAAGTGCCCTCAAATCGTTCAGAATTTTTTTTAATAGGTTATGGTGACAAGCGAGCACACAGTCCACCTGATGGTAAGTGGTTGCTGTGGCCCATAGACATCTACATCTATCCTCGATTACGAATCAAAATGCAGATGCGTTGTTACCTATGAGGACTAAGATGGAATGCCTCGTTTCCAGTAAAAAGGGTATCCGGTTCTCTACACTCACCATACGAAACACAGCAGCATTAAGCTACTATTTGACGCTGGTATTCTGTGAGAGCGTGGTCCTTCCCCGGTCGAGCCGACCTATTCGTGCTATAACTACACTACTAATATAACTGCAGCATGGCTCTACCACGTATAAATATAATTTATCGCCTAAATAGGTATTTTATGAATCGACAACTACTGGTCTATATTTTAATTTTGTATTATTGTTTTTTTTTTTTAATTTATGAATGGCTTCCTGAGTTTAATACAGGCATCTTTTATTAAATGGTATTTTATTTTTCGACGTAATCACTATTTAGTGCAGAAAAAGACATATAAGTACCTATAACATGGGAAATCTCTTTTCTAAGTTTAAACTTACCTTCTTAAAGAATTCTTCCAGGATTTAATTAAAAATACAATTTCGATAGATATTATAAAAATACTACATAAAATATGTTGCAATGCGTACATATTTGACATTATAAGTCCATTTTTACTTTATAACATTAAAGTATTTATATTTAATTAAGGATTAACGCAGGGTGGATGAAATGGCGACAGGTCACAGCCACAACGTGAGATCCCCGAATGCCAATAAGGCTGAAGGGGAAAATTTACAAATCGATCATCCGACCTGTCGTCATGTATGGAAGTGAATGCTGGGCCGTCAAGAAGAAGGATGAAAATAGATTGCATGCGAATGAAATGAGAATGTTACGATGGCTGTGTGGTGTGACAAGGATGGATAAGATAAGGAATGAGTATATAAGAGGAAGCCTGAAAGTAGCGCCAATGGTAGAAAAGGTGAGAGGAAGCAGATTGGCATGGTTTGGGCATGTGATGCGGAGGGATGAAAGTCATGTCACAAAACGAGTGTTGAATATGAATGTGGAGGGACACACGGGCAGAGGAAGGCCGAATAAAAGATGGATCGATTGTGTGAAGAGTGATATGAGAATGAAAGGAGTAAGTATGGAAATGACGGCTGATAGAGAGGAATGGAACAAGAAGATTTACTGCGCCGACCCCAGATAATGGGAAATGGTCTAGAGAATGATGATGATGAACATTAAACTATAACTGTTGGGAGAAAAACAGTACTTGTCGGTTTCTTGAATCAAAATGACTTGATTATTATAGCTATTATAGCATTAGCACGTTAGGTGCACAATAGATAAATAAAAAAAAACTCGCTTTAGCGATGTTATGCGCTAATATTGTGACCTATACGGATTCAAATCAAATCGAAATTTAAATCGAATCAACAAAAATCAATCAAATCGATTTTTAAACGTATGATACTTACTTAATTGAACTTCCTCATTTATTTGACGACTAATAAAGGGTACGGGAGGATATAGACGAAGGGATTCCTTGATACAACGATCTAAGTAGCGCATTGCATTTAGGTCTTCCATTCTTGTGGCACGCTTTGTCTCACCGAAAATGTCTTTAAGCTCTATTATTATGTTATCCTACGAGAATAATAAATAAATGTCATTTGTTTAAAATTTTATTTTCAATAGTAGGTATATTATCCCAATATTATCTTTAACGTCGGTTATTGTTGATATGCTGTTTATTGGACATCACTAATAATTACAGGCAAGCGATAGATATCTCTGTCACTATGGTTACTGTGATGAAATGGTAATATAATAAATAAACAGGTCTTATTTTATGCACAGTTTAAGTAATAATAAATTATTGTTCAAATAAATAAAATATGTAAAACGTATGAGCTAAAAATTTTATTTAAAAATTACTAAAATTTGTTTGTATGTTGTATCCGCTGGCGTCGCATGCCATCGCATTGATTTATCTTCTGTATATACTAACCTCTATATATAAAAAGATTTATCTTCTGTATCCACTGACCTCTATATATACAGCGTACTTATATATTTAGAGGTCAGTGTCTGTATCAGAAACCCGCTGGACATGTGTAAGCTTACCTTTATCGTCAAGCTAAGCTGGCGGATATAGTATACTATATCGGCCAGCAAATTTAGAGTACGCAAAAACGTGTGTATAACATAAAATACCATGGATATTTGTGATAGTTAGGTTTATTAATTTGAATTTTGGTTATTTTCATTTATTTAAAAAAATTAATTTGTAATTAGAATTCTTAACCAAACCAAAATAAGTTTGATTTGAAATGGCCAGTACTGCAGAACGGCAATTTCATATACTACTAAATACAATATATAATTAATGATCATATCCCATAGTTGCCTCTTACCTATCCACGTAAATGGGTAAGCCCCACAGGATGAAAAGGGTTCCACCAGTTTTAATTACCTCTGTAAATGTTAACATACATAATTCTAGAAATAAAGTAACAATGACTTTCTTACCTGTATTTCTGGGTAGTTGGCAAGCAACATTAGACAGTAGGTCAGTCCTGATGCAGTAGTATCGTGACCCTCAAAATAAGCAAAAATATTTTTAGTAAGGGAACACACGTTGGTAATGGATGCTGTGGCCCAAAAATATTAACATCAATCCTCGGTTAAGAATTAAAATGCAGATGCGTTGTCAGCCCTGAGGATTAAGATGAAACACCTCGTCCGATAAAAGGGTCTAGGCTTCTCTACGCTAACCATACGAATCACATCAGCACTGAGCTGCTATTTTACGTTGGCATTCTATGAGAGCGTGGCCCTACCCCCGTTCGAGCAGACCATAGAGAATATAACCAGTGGTTATATAGTCTTTGGAGCAGACCCATTCGTGCTGCAACTAACAACTGCAGCGTGGCTCTACCATGTATAATAATTATTAAAATTGTATAGTAAGTAATTTATTACTGTAATAAATAGTAAATTATTATCAAAATTAACAAGCACCAATGTGCCTTATTCCTAATAAAATTTGATGCTACTGAATTATTAGTTATTACATAGCACGTGAGGGTAATATGGTCGTCGGTTAAAATGGTCACTTTCTGATAGCTCAAAAACTATAACCCTTGGTTGCAATAGGTCTTAATCAGACAATCAAATAATAAAGGGTCAAAAAGGAACTGATTTTCAACGGCATTTTGACAGTTGTGTAAATATTAAATTGATTTTTAATTGATTTTAGTATTGTGTAGTGTAGTTGTTTTTTTTTTAATTAGATTTTGAAGTGTTCCTAATTATTTCCAAAGCTTGTTTGCAATTTGTTTTCTTAATGCGCTATTGTGTAGTGTAGTTGTTTTTTTTAAGTTGATTTTAAAGTGTTCCTAATTATTTCCAAAGTTTGTTTGCAATTTTTTTTTAATGCGCTACTCCTAGTGAACGACCTCGAGCATTCGGTCCGCCTATACTTCTACACTCCACGACACTCCATACTACACGCGCTCTCGCTACGCCCAAATTTTAAAATATTTTCTTTATGAAATCGAATTTTAGTCCTTTAGAAAAATTAAATAGATCAAAAGGTTTATTAATAAATTGCCTATCAATTGGTGTCAATCGCAAAATAAAATAATGCCTACTTTATGAGGAGATGCATGTCATCAATAATAATTATTTCGCATTTCTGTGGTTTAGTTGTAGGGTGATTCATCAAGTATTTTATTCCTTTAAAAAATTGAATTGGCTATTATGGAATCGAGATTATGTAGAAATTTAATAGATCTAATACCAATAATATCTGAGTGCACTCTTAATAGTATATGTGGTAAGTATTACGGCGCCTCTACACGTTGGCCAACACAGTGGCGAATGTAGTGGCCAGTAGCATTGGCCAACGTGTAGATGGGGTGTTTGGGCTTCATTGGTTTGTATTGGAACGATGGCCCGCAAGTTGGCGCGAGATCCGTGTGGTGTCGGTTTTTTACAAAAGATCAAAGGATTGTTGGCAGAGTTTGGTCGCCGCGTCCACACGTTGGGCTCGCGTTTAGTTTGCTACAAGCTCCCAGAGTGATTACACGCATCTGATTTAAATTTTATATTCAAGTTTTGTAGGGTGGATGCCCCAATTACTAGCCTTTTAGTGCCAATTTCAACTTTAAACATTCCTACTACTTTAATTAGCGCGATTTAATTATTTTTACACATTTGTTTTAATCGATAAGCTATTTATCAAAAAATAACGAACATTAATTTACAATCAGGTTATTACGAGAACAATTTTAAAATGAAAAAAAGAAGAAGAACGTCGTTTATACGTGGTAGAACCATGCAGTTGTATTAGAAGTATAGTTGTAGCACGAATGGGTCGGCTCGACCGGGGGAGGACCATGCTTTCACAGAATATCAGCGTAAAATAGTAGCTTAATGATGCTGTGTTTCGTATAGTGAGTGTAGAGAACCAGAGACCCTTTTTAAAGGAAACAAGGCATTTCATCTTAGTCCTCACGGGTGACAACGCATCTGCATTTTGATTCGTAATCGAGGACAGATGTAGATGTCTGTAGGTCACTGTAACCACTTACCATTAGGTGAACCGTGTGCTCGTTTGTCACCCTAACCTATTAAAAAACGTCGATTTCTTATAATTTTGCAAGTTTTCGAATCATCATCATCATTACAGCTCTACACAAGTCCACTACTGAACATCCTCCTCCACAGACTGCCGCAAAGCATGGTCCTGAGCCGCTTTCCTTGTCATGAGTTTTTCATTTATGTTCTAAGTTATAATTAGTACTTATTACTAAGTCAGTGTTAATTATATTTATTGCTATTGGTTTAGTCTTTCTCAAAAAATAATTAAATTACCAAATAAATTATAAGGTGTTTTTTATATACATCAAATGTCTGATAGAAAAGCAAGTACATGTTTTGCTAAACTTTAAAATCAAAACCTAATTTTAAAACATAGACTAATCGATTATAACTCCTTTAACTTTAAAATAAGTTAAGTTCTAATTTATGGTATTTATTCCAGTTTATGATGCATGTAGAGAATAAATAAAGCTAATCGTATATCGTATATCTATACTACGGCCCCATTAATATCAACTATTCTTTTATAACTTTTTTTATAAAAAGGTTATCCACACACTTGAATTTTTTCCTGTATCGCGGAGGCAGTTTACAAACATAAATTGCACAAGGACACACATCCAGACCCGGGACAATTAGTTGTAGGACATACAAATATTTGTTCCGTGCGGGATTCAAACCCGCGCCCCCCGGCACAGCCACTCATTGCTAAGCCACTGCGCCACGGAGCCGTCGTCCGTCCGCACATTGGCCCGAACCGAAGTAAACTGAACGACATTCCAACGTGTGGACGCCGTCACCAACTCTCGGCCAATATATTCGCCACTACGTTCGCCACTGTGTTGGCCAACGTGTAGAGGCGACATTAGATCTTTTAGATTGAAATTGCATATTTTGCAAAAAAAACTTTCAATTACATATTAAAATTAATGCCATATTAAAGCTATGTATATTATGTAGAATTATAATATTTTTATATTAGTTGATATATCTTTTTAATAACAAGTAGATAGCTCCTAAAAACCTTACAAATAACGATTACCGTGGTATTTTGCTTAAACACGCACCTTAATTGTAATAAACGACTTTGTGTTTTTGTCTATGTTTTTTTTTTGCGCCCGAAGCAAATAAAGGGCTACCCTATACGTAGGGAGGCGGAAAATGTATTACGCATACCACGATAGCCGGTCTATCGTGGTTATGAGGGACTCACATCCTACCGGGGACCTAAGTGATACCCTCTAAAAACCGCCTTTAGGGACAGGCAACTGGCTGATTAAGCTTTATTGTGCCTTATCGTGAGCGACCCTCTTTTGGGAAAATAGGGCGCAGGCGGCTACGAGCCGCTGAGGGAGTGCCTACGAAGGCAAATTAATTATGCACTCATTATAAGTGAGTAATAATTTAATTTAATTAGAGTTAGCCTGAGCCGCCAGGAGGCAGTTCAGGTCGTTTGTTAGTTTATTAGGCGGGTCCGAGAGATTTCTCGGCCTGCGGACTCGATAGCGAGAGGGGGGTGGGGCTGCATAAGTAGCTGCCTCCCGAATTAAATGATTTGAGTGCGAATCTGAAGCTTTGAAGAAGTTCTCAAAGAGTTTTTGGAGAAATTGTTGGATTGTGGGGAGCTCTAGGTCCCGATGAAGGTCAGCATTACGGACGTACCAAGGTGTGTTCGCAGCTCGACGACAGAAAAGATTTTGAACTATATGGAGTTCATTAATAATTTTAGGGTTGGCGTGGGCATAAACGGGGCCCGCGTAGGACATGACTGGTCGTATACAGACCTTGTAAAGGGTACGCTTGTTTCTAAGGGACATTTTACTGTGTCGGACCAACATACTGTTGAGTCTACTCAGATAGAACCGAGCGTGACGGGTTACTCTTTTGACGTGGGGCCTGAAAGTAAGCCCTGTGTCTAGAGTGACACCTAAATATTTGGCGGTCGTATGCCAGGGGACAGGGGTCCCTAGCATACGTATTGGTGGAGTGTTTTTGAGACGGCGTCGTTTATAATCGAAGTGAACGGCGGAGCTCTTCTCCGGGTTCACATCGATGATCGATGATTTTTTGAACCAAGCTCCTAGGTCATCAACTGACTTTTGAATCTTGTTCCGTATGAAGGGTAGTGAGATACCTTTGCAGTAAATAGCAGTGTCGTCTGCGAAGAGGGAGAGCTGAACACCTTTCGACGGGATGGGAATGTCGTTGGTGAACAGGATGTACAGCAGAGGAGCAAGTACTGAGCCCTGAGGGACACCAGCTTTGATAGTTCGCTGTGAGAATAGCGTGCCTTCGTGTCTAAAACGAAAGGTACGATACTTTCAGTAAGAGGCCACGAGACGTACTAGACGATCGGGGAGACCTATTTTGTAGAGTTTGTAGATAAGGCCTGTATGCCAGACTCTATCGAAAGCTTTAGCTATGTCGAAAAAGACCGCGATGGTCTTATGACAACGAGGATAAAAACCGCTGAGGATATATTCCACAATACGGTGGACTTGTTGGGGACATGAGTGTTGCGCTCGGAAACCGAATTGATGGGGAATGATAAGAGGGTCACCGTCTGTGGAAAACAGATAGCGCCTCATACGTGTTTGGATGACTCTTTCGAAGAGCTTGCCCATTGCCTTGAGGAGGCTAATGGAGCGATGACTGGCGGGGAGGTTGAGAGGCTTGCCTGGCTTAGGAATTCCAATCACAGTTGCCTCTTTCCACGTAGTGGGAAAGTAACTAAGGTTGAAGCAGGCATTGAAGATAATAGATAAAAAGGTTAACACCTGCTCAGGAAAGTGTTTTAGGACTTGGTTGGAGATGCCATCCGCGCCCGGGGCCTTTTTAGGCTTAAGTCCTTTGATGAGGGATGAAATCTCATCATTGGACACAGAGATAGGTTCGGAGGCCGTAGGGGGTGAGTTCCGGCGGCGGACCTCATCCTCCACTGCCTGGACGTGTGAGGGGTTTTTGGCCCTGTCCTCCTCCTATGTTTTATAGTGAAGCAAACATAGCGTAGACAGAGGAACCTATAGACAAATTGACGCCTTCTTTCGCATTCGCACACGAAAAACACCTTTAGCAACTTTGGCAGTTCGTAGAGATCTAAGGAGTTTACAAGTTGGTTTAAGTGAGAAAAAAAGTGTTTTCTGAGCTTAAGATTGGTGAATCTTGTTCAGTTCAGTTCTTATCTATCTGTTTAAAAGTCATAAAAATTATTGTATAACCTAAAACTACGTCGTCCTTTCTCACTCTAGGCCACGCTATTCATTAGTCTGTAGATTTCTCTGTCTACGAAACATAGACTTATTATACTTCTGCGTCGATGGCAGTAAAGCTTAAGGTTATATTACCCTCACATACCTTACAATTATTATTTTATTACCTCAAACATGAACGTATCAACTTCTTCTTGGATGCCGGCGTTATCCATTAAACCTTCTTGTTCCGCCAAAATTAGTAAATCAAGCATTGCCGTTCTTTTCTTTTTACCATACACCATTTCAGATTCATCATTGTCCTTATCGCCCATTGCTTTAACTAAATTTATTCCATTATCTGTTATAAACTTCTTCCTGTCGTTTATCACTTTTCGAGTAAAATTGTGCACAACAGAAAGAGATTTCTTTTGCTTTTTACCTAATGAAGACGTGTTAAAAAAGAAATCTACATACAAATGAATTCTGATGAATCTCTGGACTAATAAGTATCCCAACTCATAAACTGCGTTTTTGTATTGTTTTCCATCGGATTCATCGCTGAGCCTAGTACCCATAGCAGACTCTGAAAAAAAAAACATTCGTAATATGAATATACGCTACGCTTGACTTCTAATAGTAATAAAATGAAGAAAGGATCATTGTATCACATAATAGCAATATAAAGTTATCTACTATCAGATATCTAGATTCCGATTGACTTGTTTAAGGACTGACTTCTAAACTGTTTGAACTACGGCACACTAATACCAAATACCCTTAGCTTGAACTAGTCGTGGTACAGAGTACTACCCTCACTTCTTTTCATCTTTTATTTAATTTCCATTAAAAGTAGATGAAACTACTTCCTCTCCTTATTTTTATAGCAAGCCTTTTAAAATAAGTTTAACGTGATGATATTTAATACAAGCTTAAAATTTCAATTTCTTAGTTTTATTCTATATTAGAAACCATAAGTAACAACAAAATTAGTTGCCAACACACAAATTTATTTTAGTGAAGTAGTATAGAACGTATTGTATTGGACCATATGGCTATGATCTAATGAACTTATAAATCGTTCAGGCAGTTCAGGTGTCAACTCTTTTATCGGCGAGGCTGACTGACTACCCTGAAGGTTATTTGTTTGTACCTTTATCACATTTATGTTTTTGTTGTGATAACATAAACTTTTGAAAATTTTTCTTTTATCAATTAAATAAATAAACCTTCAACATTCTTTCCTACGACACCGAATATCGATAATATGCAGTTTTCAGATTGTGCTTTTGTTTTTGTCTTATGATCTACCCAAGTTTAAGGTTTTAGGTTAGTTTTAGGTTTTTTAAGTTACCAAGCAAGCCGACCCATTCGTGCTATAGCTACTTTATGTAATACTCTCTACTCTACAATGTGACTCTACCACATAAAAGACCACTAGCTTTAATATGGCTTCAATTTTTAATATGAAATTAAAAGTTGCTTGCAAAATATGCAATTTCAATCTAAGATATCTACTACTTACCACATATACTATTAAGAGTGCACTCAGAAATTACAGGTACTAGATCTATTTCATTGTTCAAAGACTTGTTAAGAGTTTCTACTAGTCGGTTTGTATTTTCCTGTAGATTGACGTAATATCTACGCAATATATTAAAATGGAAAGCTGGCGTTAGAATCTTCCGACGATCCTGCCATTTTTCTCCTGTAATTACAGAATACAACTAAGTTTATAGATATGTTTTTAAGTGTTGTACTTGTGAAAATAATATATTTTGTTTCTTATTTTACTAAATTAGAGACGGTTTGAACAAGATATTCAATCATATCGTAAGTAAACTACGAGTAAAAGTATTTTTAAGACATTTCATACCATAGCTCAGTAACAATCCGTCTTGCAACCATGGTTTCAAAAAAGAATAAACCTGACTCTTTTGATGATATTTCATACCAGAAAGGATTATCTGAAAATTTTAAGAAGCTTGTTTACTATAATTTGATAAAGATGTGAACGTGACATAAGGGGCAATGTATACAAAACTTTGCACTTACTTCAATATCTTCAGGATTATAAATACTAATTGCTCCGAGGGGGAAACACCAGAATCTGTATATGCCATTATTTTCCTTTGCTATTTTTCTTCCTAGTTCAAACAGTTTCACTGAAAATAAAAAGTCAAAATTTGAGTTTAATTATATCCATATCCGAAAACTGAAACAATAATTTTATGTTTGACATTAATGTCCTTAATAATTTCATACGGAAAGCAAATAAGGAACTCAAAAATTTTATACAAATGTGAACAAAATTTCTTGAATTAATATTTTTAGGAATATCACTACAGCCTATCAAAGTTCACTGATAATCAAAGGTACATCTGACCACTGTATGGTGAAATCTGTATCGTTGTTCACATTCTCCACCTGATTACGAGTCCCGAGGTTTCCGACGAATACGGCGCTACAAGTCAGCTGATTGGGATGAGATGCGACACTTTTTCCATCCTATCCTTGGCGAGAGGTCTGTTTCTCTTCTGCGGATCCGTCGAGCTGCGCGAACTCGATAACTGATGTTTTGCGTCAAGCTGTGGAGTTTTTTATCCCCTTTTCTGACGCTCCCACCGGTAGCGAAGCCCGCCCATGGTTCAACGCTGAATGCTTTCAAGCTGAAAACGCAAGCATTTAGCGTACCTGTCCTGGGTTGCCGCTCGAAACCGCAGAGCTCCGGATATCAGCTTCAAGAAGAGAACTTTCAAACAGGCCGCCAAGTCCTACAAAAAAGCATTACGGAAAGCTAGTCTCGGTCGCATAAAACATATTGGCGCAAAACTCTCTGCCAGACCATCCAGCATAAGAGCTTTTTGGTCTCTTGCCAAAGCGGTCGAGACAAACTTCTGTCGGCCTTCACTGCTTCCGCTGGTAAAACCGGATGGAACACTGGCGCATACGGCTTAAGAGAAAGCGGACTTGTTCGCATCTCTTTTTGCCTATAATTCACGTCTGGACAGTGGCAACAACATCCCACCTAAATTACCTCACTGCAGGACCACTATGTCAGAGGTTCGTATCACAAATAAAGAGGTTCCCCAAAGCTTGCGGTGTCTCGACGTGAATTAAGGTAGTGGACCAGATGGTATACCAGCTACTATAAAGGCTTGTGTACCTGAGTTGTCTCCTGTGTTGACACGCTTGTTACGCCTCTCATTTGGGACTGGAATAGTGCCAAAATCCTGAAAGCTAGCCAATGTGCAGCCTGTTCCAAAAAAGGCAGCCGTGCCGACCCTGCCAATTATCGGCCAATCTCAATTACCTCCATACTCTGCAAGATTATCGATCTTATATTGAACGCCCGCTTAATGGCATAGCTAGAACAGAATGACCTCCTTAGTGACCGGCAATACAGGTTTTGCCGAAATCGGTCAGCTGGGGAACTTCTAGCGTATGCCACATACGTATGGGGCGAGGCACTCGAGAACCGTGGGGAAGCACTTGCCGTTTCCCTTGATATCTCAAAGACCTTTGACAGAGTTTGGCACGCTAGCCTTCTGGCTAAGCTTCCAGCGTACGGCTTATCCCCTGATCTGATTGACTGGGTAAAGGACTTTCTGAGTGAACGGTCTCTCCGGGTCGTCGTCGATGGCTGCTCATCCGATCCAGTGATGACTAACGCCGGTGTTCCTCAGGGGTCCGTTCTCTTCCTAACTCTCTTCCTGCTGCATATAAATGATTTGCTTATGCCAGATATCTATGAGTACGCTGACTACAGCACAGTTGTGGAGAGATACCAACAAGGTCCTCGGGCCAGTCGGGATCAAATCCAGTCCGACAGAGAAGCTATGGTAGAGCGTGTGAATCTCACACTACAGGCAGTCTTCGAATAGAGCAATGCTAATCTTGTGAAATTCAACGCCTCCAAAACACAAGCATGTCTCTTCACTGCAAAAAGGAGCCAGCTCAACTTGGCTCCTTCTTTCCGAAATGTATCACTAGAATACACCCACCCCCTCCAATTGCTGGGGGTTGAGATATCCTCAAATCTGAACTTCGAACGGTTCATTGAGTTCAAGGCCAAAGCGGCTGCAAGGAGTCTAGGAGTCCTTGCAAAGGTGCGGCGATACTTCACGCCGGGACAGAAACTTACTTTATGTAAAGCCCAAGTCGTGCGGTCATGCATGGAGTATTGCTGCCATATATGGGCTGGTGCTGCAAAATGCCACCTAGCGGCCTTGGACTCAATGGAAAGGCGTGCTAAGAGGCTTATTGGTGACCCGAATTTGGTTGAAATCAATCTTACCAGCCTTGAACCCGGCGTAAAGTAGCCTGCCTTTCAGTCTTCTATAGGATGCATTTCAGAGAGTGTGTGCAGGAATTGCATAATTTAATTCCTCCCTCTCCCTTCCACCATCGGACAACCAGACGTTCGGCCATTCTCCACCCTTTAGTTGTTGACTTACCACGTATTCGAACCAAACGGTTTGCTTCGTCATCCGTACAGCAAAGGAGTGGAATAAGTTGTCAGCATCTGTATTTCTATCCAATTACAATGTCCGTGCTTCAAGGCAAGAGTCAATAGTGTTACGAGCTTGAGGTTCGTGACAATAAAAATTGCCGATAGAATTACCTAAATTAACACTTTAATTCCCTTTACACTAACTAAAGTTAAAAACACTAATAATTAATCACACTGATTCACTTAATTCCGCTCCGAAGCTTCGCTTGTCTCGCCAAATCAACAACTTCCCTGATCGCGTATTGCAGCGCCTTTATATAGGGCTCTTCCACGAAAACATCCAGAATATTCCAGAATATTCGAGTAAATACGCGCGCCAACCGACCAAGCGCAGAAAGATCGAGTGTAGAGTTTCTAGAAAGTTTAGTTCTTCAATTTGATACTAGATGGCGCTGTCGGTTAAAAAATTAGTCGTGTCGTTTTCTGGAAAGCTCTCTCCTCGTTCTGTTACCCGACACTAGATGGCGCTAGTGCCATGAGATGAGATGTCAAGTTAGCCGCGCAACACTGCCCCCTCCTAAGACATGCTCGTCCCGAGCATTATCGGACCCATAATAACGCGCCAAGCGATCCACATGGACGATCTTAGGAGTCCCCTTTGCGCCTTTCTGTAACGGCTCTGCAATGTCAAGGGATGTCCTATCCCATGGTGCACCAACATTGTACAATTTCGGTGCTCCTCTACTACGTGTCTGAGGTCCCCTCACGGCCGCACAACTTGTACATGTACGACACCAAGCCTCGACATCGTCACGATAATGGACCCAGTAAAACTGTTCTCGGACCTTCAGCAGAGTTCGTTTAACTCCCAGATGGACTCTTTAACGACCATTATGGCACAGCTGTATAACATTCGGCACTTGAGCTTTAGGGACAACCATTTGCAAACGACAGCTGTCTCCTCGACCATTGTCCCATTTACGGCACAGGACTCCATCCTGAATCGGCATGCTGTCCCATTGGGCCCAATAGCTTTTCGTGGTTGAACTCATCGCTGAGACGTCCCTCCACTTAGGCTTGGTAGCACGGGCCTTCATCCCTTCCAGAATCGGCTTGATGTCCGGATCTTCCTGCTGTGCATGTCGTAGGCTGTCCTTCCACCCGTTGCTGAGGTGGTCTGTCCTGAGCATCCTCACGGATACCACTTCCTTACTCTCTTGCCTACTACAATGGTTGAAATCTTCAGGACAAGGTCTTCTTGACAGTGCATCTGCGTTGCCGTGAGATTTCCCGCTGCAGTGTCTGATAGTAAAGTCGTATTCCTGCTGCTGCTGGGCGGTGCTGTTAGCCGCACTTCCTTTCTGAGACCGTTCACCTTCCCTTCCTAGGGTGTGCTTAGGGCAGCTGGACCGAAGATGGCCCCTTTCCCCACAACCATAGCACCTGGGGCTGTATCCTTTATTGTGGTCGCGAACCGTAACTGCGGCAACCTCCCTAGCGCTAGGGGAACGACGATCCTGCCACCGCCAGGCGGTGCCGTTAGCTGCACGACCCTCTCGAGATCGATCAACTCTCCTTTCCACGGTTCGCTTAGGGCAGCTGGATCGAAGATGGCCTTTTTCCCTACAGACATAGCACCTAGGGCTGTATCCTCTGTTGCGGTCGCGAACTGTAGCTGCTGCAACCTCCCTGACGCGATGGGAACGATGATCCTGCCGCACGGCTTCCACCTCCAGTACATGGGCCAAGGCGTTCTTAAGCGTCTCGTGGTGCCCGAGCTTCACAGCAGCTCTGACTTCCAGGTCGCGAATGCCGTCGATGAATGTCTGCACCCGGTTCCCTTCAATGAGCGCAGGTACAGACTGGTATGCTTTTCGCACCAGCTTCTCCATCTCTAGAGCCTACTGCTGCAGGTTTTCGTTGCTGCGTTGCACGCGATCTCTAAGCTGCGCTCGACAGACGTGTTCCAGGTGAGCGTCGCCATATCTAGCCTCCAATGCCTCAAGGAGCTGCTCGTAAGTCACTTCTTTACCGAGAGCTTCTAGAACAGTTAAGGCCCGGTCGCGCAGGCCTAGTGTGAGAGCAGTCATGGCCTGACTTTTATTCCAGCCGTTCGCCTTCATAACAGCCTCGAACTGGATTTTGTACGCTGACCAGGAAGAGGTACCGTCGAACGGTGGCACCTTGAACCCACGTAGCGAAGGTGTTGTAGCTACTACGGGAGCTGTAGCTCCATCTCCAAGTTTGAGTTCGTCCAGTGATTTCTTCATGTCAGCCATTACGTTGTCAACCCGATTGTTTACTTGGTCGATTCGGGTTTCAGCTTTCTCGATTCGGTTTTCAGCTTCCGATAGGCGGTTGTCATGCTGAGCAACCCTATCCTTAACCTCCTTTATCTCCTTCCCGAAATTAGTGTGAAGATCCTTCATGAGGAGCATTTGCTCTTCCAACCGACGGGCCTGTTCCTCTTGTCCGCCCCGCAGCTGTTCTTCCAAACGACGGACCTGTTCTTCTTGTCCGCCCCGCAGCTGCTCTTCCAAACGACGGACCTGTTCCTCCTGCTGCTCTTTCAACAGACGGGCCTGTTCCTCTCGTCCGCGCTGCAGCTGCTCCTGTAGCATCGCCATCAGAGCACCTAAGTCAGGTGCTGCAGATGCAGGAGCTAATGACGGGCCCGCAGCCTCCGTGGCTGGCAGTTGGCCCTCCGACGTCTGCGCCGTTGCACCACCAAATCTTCTTTGGTCCGTCTCCTGCTGGCGTTGACTTCGGGTACGGACACCCTCCGTTTCCTCCTTAGGTAAAATCGGCATGATTTTATCCCACTTCTGACACCAATTGTTACGAGCTTGAGGTTCGTGACAGTAAAAATTGCCGATAGAATTACCTAAATTAACACTTTAATTCCCTTTACACTAATTAAAGTTAAAAACACTAATAATTAATCACACTGATTCACTTAATTCCGCTCCGAAGCTTCGCTTGTCTCGCCAAATCAACAACTTCCCTGATCGCGTATTGCAGCGCCTTTATATAGGGCTCTTCCACGAAAACATCCAGAGTATTCCAGAATATTCGAGTAAATACGCGCGCCAACCGACCAAGCACAGAAAGATCGAGTGTAGAGTTTCTAGAAAGTTTAGTTCTTCAATTTGATACTAGATGGCGCTGTCGGTTAAAAAATTAGTCGTGTCGTTTTCTGGAAAGCTCTCTCCTCGTTCTGTTACCCGACACTAGATGGCGCTAGTGCCACGAGATGAGATGTCAACTTAGCCGCGCAACAATAGGTTTTTGTTAAGTCGCACTGACTTAACAAAAACCTTTACCACCTTAAGCTACATCACCACTTACCATCAGGTGAGATTGTAGCTAAGTGCTGGCTTAGAGAAGTAAAAAAAAAAGAGAAAAAAAAGGCTGCCCTATAGATTGCCTCATGAGTAGCATATTAGTCATAGTCGCCACGCTCGGTGGGTGCGTTGGTAACTGTATTTTTTATGGTGGTCTGTCGATTTTTCCGACACCTACGCGATGATATGGGGATGTGGGTATACCTACACTACCGCTATGTAGTATACAGATGTCCGGTAATTAGTAATAATAATAAACATTTAAATGGCTTACACCAAAACTAATGGCCGTACAAAAAAAAATTTATGAAAAGTAGTACCCATAACATGTTTTTTTAATTCCTAATATTTTTTTACAAATTAAAAGTTTGTGTACCTTGATTACAAATGAATTAATTTTGCCGGTTTTTTTGTTGATAACACACTACTTAGGTAGCAAATATTACGAATGATTGCGAATTATGATTTAGTGCAGATTTCCAGTGAAAAATGCAGTGAGCATAGATCTGGAGAATTTGTAGACCACAAAATTGTCTCTAGACAACTAATCCATTTATATGGATATCTTCGGCTTAAATATTCCCGCACGTGACACAATATGCGCAGGACAGCAATCATTTTGGAACCAGTGTGATTCCCTCAACTCCTCTGACACCTCTTCTAATAAATTTGGGAGATTACCTTTTTTAAATTTTGCAACTAAAACAAATTTCTCAGGTACTATTTGGAATGTGATTATAGATATTTTTTGTAGTTTTGCTGTACGCCTTTTATGAGTTGTCCATTCATTATTGGACAACCTATTTATAAATATGTTTTTAGTAATTTTAATCTAATCAATATGATTGTGATATCGTATCGGATAAGCAAATTAATATCGATATAATAAAATAATATTGATAATTAGTAGGTATTGATTTTATGGACATTTCGAGTTTTTTTGAATCATCTGAAATATTGAAAGCTTTAATAATAGTACCTGGATGACCGAACTCCGAGCAGAGTTTTTTTTTAAATCGTGTATTTTGGAAATTATATTTAGATACAAATTACATACTGAAGAAACATAAATGATATTTTTTGATCTTATTGATATAATAGAAAAAACTGAACTGGTTATTTGAATAAAAAATCATGAGTGCAATTAGTTTAATTTATATTTTGGTATTTTAAAAAAAATACTTAAAAAAGACTCAAAATAATAAATTTTTTCACAAAAGAAAGGAACTTGAAAAAAAGGGGAAGAAGTCGGACCGTAGATGGGACGCGAACCAGGGCACTACGAATTCGCGGCGGCTCGATATCCACTTGAGCTATTACGATCATTAACTTAGTGTCAAAATTTACCTTCTTATATTGTAGCAGTTTTTCATTGTCCGAAAACACGGACAAAACGACATTTTCTATAAATAATATATATATATATATATATATATATATATATATATATATATATATATATATATATATATATAAATTGCTCGTTTAAAGGTATAGGATAAGATTTTTCAAAATTTGGTGGCATTGAGTGTAGACATAGAGGCATAAAGTGTAGGCAAATAGAAATTTGCTGGTTACACTGGTCGAAGGCTACTTTCTCATTTTGACAACAATGCGTTAGCTGCCATCGACACATCCGGCGCGGTAGCGACGATTATTTATTAGTTACAATTAGTTACAATTTACAATATCGTCTTTGTTTATAACATGATAATGATTTTCATAGTGGGTAGTGTAATAAAATTTTGACTTAGAAGTTTGACATTTTTTTAAACAATTACTTTGCCCTTTGCCCTTGAGCCGGTGACCTTGCGAAGTGACAAGGTCAAAGATGCCTACTAAATTTATTGTTTTACTGCCGTTCGTAAATTAGGGTAGATACGATTTGAATTTCGATAGATTTTAATTAATTAATTTATTTAATTCAAAATTTTTGTTTTTATATTTCCTAAAACATCGGTGCCATAGGCTTCTTCTCCGTTCGCATGTTACACGCTATTTTTTCCAAACGGTAAAAAAGGTCATGCAGTATATGCAAATTAAGAAAATCCGTCAAAACTAACCACATGTTATTTAAATTTTATTATAATCGTACAAAGAAGCTTGTAATTTACTAAAGACGAATACCGTTTGTTGGTAATAACTATGTAATATACGACGTAACATAAGTATTTAGTATAGGGTTCATGTTCATATAAGAGAAAATGCTTTATCTGTTCCGAATTATAGGCTATTATAAAAAAATATATCGGATAAGTGTGAGTAGAACTCGCACCCTGAGGTTTCCATAAAAATATAGTACTGAAATTCATAAATTATACATAATGTAAGCACCGAACACTTCTCTTCCGAAAAGTAAAGTTGGATTCTAGGTTCTACTTAACTTTAAATTAAAATATTACTTATATATAAATACGTTAACATTTTCTTCTTTACAAAATTTCATGATTCTAAGTGAACGAGAAGTAAGTACACTATAGGTTTGATTGAGTGAGTTAGTGGTACTAAAATATTTGACATATATTTTTTATCTTTTGAATAAAAGGGACCGTAGATCTTACTAATTGATATTAACCCTTCAATCTCTTAGCAGTCGAATTCGACCGGGGCGCTATTACGCCAAAATTCAAGCGGTCGGACTCGACCGCGCACACCCACAGCACTTTAAACCATTGAAACTTATATTTAGAGACTACTTTTCTAGGAAAAAGTTTAGCACTATATAATTAATATAAAATTTTCTATCCTCTAGTGCAGCAATAAAAAACAGTTATCCTATAGATATCTATTTATAATCTATGTTCATTATGAACGCCATTTTCGCGTGAATGTTATTGTGTTGATTTTGGACATTTCTAGTGTTTCATTAGTGTTTTAGTATAGTGTTTTATTATAAAATTGTAATGAAAGTTTTTGTGTGAATATAATTTATCTTTTTACGTAAATAATTTCGAGTAATATATATTGAAATAATTGTGATTTTCACGCTGCCGCAAAAAAAAAACATTCGCTTGGTATGTTTTTTTTTTGTTATCTAAATACAATAGTCTTTTTGTATTGTAGTAAAACCTGACTTTTATTTTGAGAATTTTGTATAGATTTTATAATGCCAAACTTCTTCATAGAAAAGTAGTCTCTCAATATAAGTTTTAATGGTTTAAGTGCTGCGGGTGGGTGCAGTCGCATGCGACTGCTCGAGATTTGCCGGGCGCATGCAACTGCATAGGATTTATTGGGGATTGAAGGGTTAATTTCAACTAGATACCTCTACAAGTCCCTTAGAAAAGGGGTCTTAACCGACGAACGGACGGATGACAAAGTATCCTATAAGGATTCCAATTTTTTGTTACCTATGATATACGCAACCTTAAAAGTTGTCAGCAAACTATTTTAGTAAACAATATTTTATAGTTTCTAGCCTGGAACAGAAACTCTGCAATTGGAGTCTACATCATAATTATACTTATGCCAAGAAACTTACTAAACTTCGACGATTTCACTAAATAATTTAGAAGGATTTCTTTTTTTACACAAAGTTAAATAATATTTAATTTATTTTCTAATAACCTTTTTGTCACTAAAGGAAACATACTTTTTTTGTGGGGATATACATACTAAGTTATATTAGGTAAATTAATGCTAACCGTAAAGTTTTAGTATAGTGTTTACGGAGAAAACAAAGTTGTTTTAAAAATATATCTATAACTTAAATTGAAAATTTTAAAAACCGACATAAAAAGGACTGATGATCTTCAAATGGCTGAAAATTTTTTTTTGTATCATATCTAAGAACACTCTCGGTCAAGTCACCTTTCAAACAAAAAAACAAAACTAAATCGGTTCATCTTCATCCTCTTGGGGGCTACGATGCTACAGAACATATATACACTAGTGAGGCGCGGGGGGGGGGGGGCTTACACTAGATTTTTTTCTTTAAATACATTACCACCACATTTGGCTTTTCTGCCTGTATCATTGAGGCTGTTCGGATTCACAAATGCATCTCATTTCTAAAAAAAAGTTATGAGCTATTTGTTGACCGCTCTGCTTCAGTGTGCGCAGGCTTTTTGTGTTCGAAAAATATTTATTCCTCAGATATGAAGGTTTCCACAATGTTTTCTTTGACCTCCAAGTACCTGGTAAATCAACGCTTATTGGTATATACCTAAATTATTCAAATATTACTTATATGTGGTGTTATACAACCTAAACCTTAAATATTACTATAGGTACTATTTCCAAATACGTTAAAAGTTAAAATTATTTAAACTGTACCTGGTGGGTAAATGACTTCTAGCGCGTTTCCAATAATAAAGGAATGTTTAAATCCCGGAATTTTACGAAGTAATATAGCCTTCTCATTATAATTAAATAAGTAGTCAACTCCAATTAAAAATACCACTACTGCAATAAATAATAATTCGATCATTGTAACTAGTCGACGTTTCTATAGCATGGCTCGAACTCGACTGATAATAACATTGGGCACGATATAAACGATATATTAAATTAATATCTTTATCTGAAACCTTTAACCTGATATCTATATTATTGCTTACATTTAATGTTTACCGTAGCATCATTAAATAGCCTTGTAATAAAACTTAAACTTTGAATTTTCTATGGCAATTAGTGTTATAAAATGATAAATCTCAAAGTGGTGGTGGCGGCAGCGCAGCGTATAATATGTTACGCGAGAACTACACGCGACCATGATTGATTCGATATTTATTTATTTATTTTATTCTTTATTGCACCAAAGATTTTGTACAAAAGGCGAGCTTAATGCTATATGGCATTCTCTACCAGCTAACCTTGGGTAGAACAGAGAGTGAGTTATGGGCAGTAAAGATGTCATGATCTCATTCAATTCAAAATGTACATGCTACACATACATATAATATATATATACACATATATATTATATACACTTACACACATACATATGTATATACATATATATATATATATATATATATATACATATATACATACACATATACATATATAAATATGTATCTCCATAAATTTATATACAAATAACTATAAACATATAAAGTAAGTGGACTCAAATTTGTTGGTTACGGATATATTCGTATAATTTTCTTTTAAACACGTTTTTAGCAGGTATTATGCGCAGGTCAACAGGCAATTTGTTCCAGAGGGAGATGGAAGTTAATGTGAAAGAATTTGACATAAACCCAGAATGGTGGAGAGGAGTAGACAGTAATAAATTGTGTGAAGACCGGAGATTGAGAGAATGAGTGTCACTACGGAATTGGAATCTTTCTTTTAGGTAAAGGGGTGAGGAAGAATCATTAAGAACTGAAAACAGAGAGGACAGCATTCGAAAATCTCTGCGCTGGCGTATAGTCAACCACTTTAATTGGGAGCGAAATTCTGATACGTGATCGTATTTGCGCAGACCAAAGATGAATCGTATGCAGTTGTTAAGTAACCTGTCCAACCTGCTTAGCAGCTCCTGAGAGATATTAGAAAGACAAATAAATAATATTAATATTCTTAAATATTAATATTATTTATTTGAGTCATCTTAGCAAGGTTCTAAAAGAAAAGGATAAACAGGTCTTTTAATATGTACGTATGTACTAGATGATGCCGTGTGGTGAAATAGGAGATTCTAGCACACTATTTCGCCCCGTGCCTAAGAGCCTACTATAGGAAAGGCTAGAAAGACCTCACAGCTTTCGATAGTTGGTAGGCAGTAACCATCCCGCATTCGTCAGACAGATGTGTATCTAGATGAGTCAGGAGCAGCGCCAAAGATGCAATATAATATCTAAAACTGCAATCGAAAATTCGCCTGCCAAGCGTCGCGATGCCAATGCCAAGCACGATGACAGATGCGCACGTCCAGTAACTTTTAAGAGCTGATGAGGAAGAGGAATTGTGTTTAAGAACGATTTTAATGCATGTAGAAATTGTTTTCAGTTGTGTTACTTTTCCAAAGTTTATCGTTCCACCACAAAGCTAAGAGCAAGTACAAGCATTGCTACTTCTGCGCCTACTCATAACGTTTTATACAGGGTAGAGCCATGCTGTAGCTATATTATGGCTCGACTGGGAAAGGACCATGCGCTCACAGAATACTAGCGTAAAATAGCAGCTCAATGCTGATGTGTTTCGTATGGTAAGTATAGAGAACCGGAGACCCTTTTTACTGGAAACGAGACATTCCATCTTAGTCCTCAGGGGTGAAAACGCATCCGCATTTTAATTCTTAATCGAGAATCCCTCGCGTCCGTAGGCTTCGACCACCTAATCATAGGCTCACCCTACACGTGTCCCCCGGGTGGTGCTAAACGAGCGACAAGTCGAAAGTACAGACTCGGAAGTAGCGGCGTTAAATATTCCACCCCATAGTTTTGCACTATGAGGCATCAAAAAAAATGGCCTTGAGTTCCTGACGCCCCTTTAATGGGGCAGGAGTGCGAAGAATCTCCGGGAGGAAAATCGGCGACGAAGTTCGCCATCCATCACGTTCAGTCTCCCGGAGGGGCGAAAAGTGGATTGCAGAAGCCCGTCTGGCTAAGTTGAATGTATGTGGAGCAATTAGTGATAAGATGGATGAAGTATGCAATATGATGTATGATAGAGGAATAGATGAGTTATGTATAAATAAGACCAAACGGGAAGGAAAGAATGTTATTACACATGGTATGTATACCGCATACTGGTCTGGTGGACGAAACCGAGCGGGCGCGCCAGGGAGTAGGTATCATTCTTTCAGAAATTTTGGGTCAATGGTGAATAAGTGAAAGAGGGTAAGCCCGAGACTGCTATGGATACGACTGAAAGTGAGCTTAAATAAGTTGTTTATGCTGTGTGTCTACGCCCCAGACATGTCTAAGTCTACTTAAATCCGAGAGCAGTTTTGGGAGATGGTAAGGATAGCGTTAATGAAGTGTTAAGGAAATGAAAATATTGTTATGCTAGGCGATTTTAATGGAAGGGTTGGGGTGAAGAGACTTGGTTATGAAAGAATATTGGGGACTTTTGGTGATGAAAGTATAAATTAGAATGGTGAAAGTCTCCTCACCGTATGTGTGGAAAAGAATCTTTTTGTAACGAACACTTTTTTCGTCATAAAAAATTCACATGTATACTTGGGAAAGAGGTGATGATAGAAGCATGATAGATTTCATAATTGTAGATGAAAGATTGAGGAGCGCAGTGGTGGATACAAGGGCTTACCGGTTGTCCAACGTAGGGACGGATTATTATTTGGTTTTATGCCAAATTATTGGTCTATTCAGACGTTGACGGCATCGGACACTGTGTCTACCACTGCGTTACAGCGTATTATAACAGAGAGGTTACAAGATGAAGATAAGAAAAACAAGTACAAATGTACACTGAAAGAAAATATAAGTGGTTTGGATGAATTGTGTATGAATGAGTTAGACTTGGAGAATATAAGGCAAAATGTTAAGAAAGGTTTAGTAGATGCAGCTACTGAAGTAAAGAGAATTAAAAAGAAAAATAATCCGTTATGGTGGGATGATGAGATATGTATGGAAGTTGAAGCAAAGACGGGAGCATGGCTAGATTTCACAGCACGGCACGACCCTCGCCCTCTCTTTTTTTAGGGTTCCGTAGTCAACTAGGAACCCTTATAGTTTCGCCATGTCTGTCTGTCCGTCTGTCCGTCCTCGCTTAATCTCTGTGACAGTTAGCACTAGAAAGCTGAAATTTGGTACCAATATGTGTATCAATCACGCCGACCAAGTGGTAAAATAAAAATTGGAAAAAAAATGTTTTATTAGGGTAGCCCACCTATATGTAAAATGAGTAATTTTTTTTTATTTCAACCCTAACGTGTGATATATTGTTGGAAAGGTATTTAAAAATGAATAGGGGTTTACTAAAATCATTTTTTGATAATGTCAATAATTTCGGAAATAATCGCTCCAAAAGTAAAAAACAATATGTCCCCCCCTCTAACTTTTGAACCATAAGTTTAGAAAATATGAAAAAAATCTGAAAAGTAGAACCTTATAAGGACTTTCTAGGAAAATAATTTTGAACTTGGATGGAAACAACAGTACCCACTACCGGGAGCAGTTGCAGGAGCGCGGAGCGCTGCTGGAGCGCGAACATAATGGATACCCACTTTTAAACTCATAAGTGGGAACACTTATTGTGACGGACGGGAAACTACGGAAACCTACACTGAGCGTGGCCCGACACGCTCTTGGCCGGTTTTTATTTTATTGATTTTTTTTTTGGATTTGACACACCTCTCTCGCCTCTTCCACATTCATGTACCTACGCATACATGCTCGTCGATTAAGGTTACATCTTTCTAGCCTTCTTAATGTTTGTATTTACTAGTTGGAGAAGGTTCTCCTAATTTGGCCCATATTTAATATATCGCAAGTTTTACTTTTGAAATTTCTATGTTATCAATCGAATCAAAAGACCTGTTCCGTACACCCCACCGCCTTTCTAAATCCGACTTGCACACCCCACATTTTTCCGTCAGATTCTTTCATAACTCTATTAATCGATAGAATCAGGCGTTACTTTGCGGAAATCCATTATAATAAAAAATAAAAATATAAATTTCTTTGCAACTTTCCGCTAAACATATAAAATGATGTGTCTTACCTGGATTGAAGCGCACCTCCCGCCCTCCCTCAATTGCATACACTAACTCCGTCACCACTAGACCAAGCACCACTACTCTCAACACCACTATTCCAGGCAAGACACACCATCGACGATAATACGACACGTGTTTCGCCTCTACACGAGGCATCATCAGGTAATATAGACTCTACGGCGGCTGACCGCTAAGTGAGCGGCGAGTCGAAACAGTTGCTATTTATACACGCTGACACAATCGCTCCCTACCAAAGTAGCGAGTGACCGCGTCGTGCGATAACAAACCTGCCAACAGTTATTATTATTGTTATGATTATTTTTAAATACTATTATTATTATTGTTTTGAGTGACCGCGCCGTGCGATAACAAATCTGCTACTAATTATTATTATTGTTAATATTTTAAGTACTATTATTATTATTGTTTTATTGATATTATTATAATTATTTATTATTATTAATCTTAAAATTATTATTAAAGATTGGCCTTAAAGATGTTTAACAAAGGTGAATTAGAAACATTTGTTTGTTCATTCAGCAGTGTATAATTACCATTATTACTTTTTAAAATCTCCAACTGCTCCAGCACACACAGTCGCAGCCCCTTATTACAGGTATCAGGTATGTAACTAACTGTGTATGTTCTTTACGTGGTAGAGCCATGCTGCAGTTATATTAGTAGTAAAGTTGTAGCACGAATGGGTCAGCTCGACCGGGGAAGGACCACGCTCTCACAGAATACCAGCGTGAAATAGTAGCTTAATGCTGCTGTATTTCGTATGGTGAGTGTAGAGAACCGGA